AAGGTGGGAGATGGCTGCCCGGTGCGACTGGAGGCAAATCCCCTTAATAGCAAGAGACACAGGAACAGCAAATATGCTCATAGGAGTTACTCTGGTTCAGACACATGCCACCTCATTGACGAGTACAAGTAGTAATTGATTATTACCCGCAATAACCTTACTATTTCCCCTTCTGCAAAGGGATGGGTTGAAGTGACACACCCAAGACCACGCACCCTGGACAGTGGCTGGTTCCTGGGCCCTCCTGTGACCACTGTGTGTGCTGATTCCTGGAGGCAGGAAAAGGGTAAGGTGTCCCCTGGGGGAAGAGGAGAGGGACGGGAGGAAAGACATCACTGTGCAGGAGAAACAGACGGCCGTCTACAGCCGGAGTGAAGTTAAAACACGTGACTCAGATCATGTCACCATGCCCCTTTACAACCTGTTCCGGCTGCTCACTGCACGTGAGAGGAACCCAGCCCCACCTCGTCTCCCTCCAGTGTCCCCGCCACCTCTCCGCCTCACTCACAGATCCCCCCATGTTGGCCTTTCAGGTCCTAAAATTCGCCAACCTCTTTCTTGCCCCAGGACCCTTGCACGTGGTGGTGTCTCATTCCGAAACACTGTCCCCTCACATTTTACCAGGAAACTCCTGAATCCTCTGGTCTCCACCTAATTAGGATTTACTCAGACGGGTCTTCAAAACCCCCCACCTTGTGATACCACCTCTCAGCACCTCGCTTCTCCCTCTTCCCCGACCCTACTCCGATTGTCTATCCAACAGCGTCACGGTGGACTGTATGCTCCCTGAAGGGGGGACCAGGTCGGGTTTTTCCCTGATGTTCTGCTTCTGCTTCCCCATGACTGGCACATAATTAAACAGCAGAAGTTGAAGCTGAATTTGGGAGGGCCTTGTTGACGGACAATGAGAAGGCAGAAAAACTTAATCGAGGACGGTGACAAGATCAAATAGAGGCTTAAAGAAAGCAAAACAAACCTAGTGTCATGTGGGCGATGGACAGGAGGAAGGCCAGGCTGAAGGCCAGTCAAGGGTCCCGTCGACAATCTAGAGGAGAAGTCGTGAGGGCTGGAGCCCAGGGGCGAGTGCAAGACGTGACAGGTGGCACAGCTGGATTTGTTCACTTGAGCATCGTGTGTGCACGTGCGCATGTGTTTGCATGTGTGTGCACGTGTGTGCATGTGTGTATGTGCGTGTGCCTGTGTGTGTATGTGTGAGCCTGCTCTGTGCACTCTGTGAACTGCTGTCCACTCAGGAGGATGAAACATGAGAAGCAAACCTGTATGAGAACGCTGCGCTCTAAGAGGAAAGGTTCAAACGAGAAAGACCGATGGCTCCTCTGGGCCTTAGGTCCAAAGGGAACAAGGATGAGTCACCCTTTCCAGGGCCAGCCCTCTTCACGGGAGCTGGGCAGGCAAAGATGGAGGAGAGCCGCAGCGGCAGGCGGGACGGGCCGCAGGCCTGTGTGGAGGGAGCGGGCCTCCACGGTGCACTGGGCAGCTCTGGTGAGAGGGCCTGAGCTGGGTTTGCCGAGAAAGGACGAGCTGGGGAACGGCTAAGGGAAAAATGGTCTAAGGAGGAAAGCGTGGCGTTACCTACCTGAAAAGTGCAAAGGAGAAATCTACACACTGGAGGGAGACGGTGAGCCTGAGGCTGCGGGAGGAGAGGAGCGAGAGGTTTAGGGGAGATGGTGACCCCGTGACCCGGGCCACCACGTGGGGACGCCTCCCGGCAGGCGTGGCTATGGTGGCTGCTCGGCCACGGCACAGCTCCGCCAAATGTGACCTAAGCAGTGGAAAGCTGAGCCTCCAACAGTCTTTGTCTTAGATTTTGAGAATAACGTCCTTTTCTTGAAAATGGAAACGTCTTGGTAACTATTCTCCCTAATTTCCTGCATTTGAGAGAAACCGAAAGGTTACTTTACACGAGAAGATCGTCTTCCCAGAGCATCTGGGAGTCTCCACAGCCGGGCTATTTCTGTCTGCCATGGCGCAGCGGTAAAGTGTGCTCAGCGTAGATGGCACCAGACCTGCCACCCCTCACGCCTCCAACCAGCACGCTCGGTCCCTCTCGCACACGTCACGGCAACGGAGCCAAATGCCAAGCTGCTGCTTCCTGGAGTCACTTCCAATCACGGCCTGAGTGGCGCTGGGCTGTGACAGGCCACCCACTTCTGTCCACACCCGACAGCGGGAATGGGACAGCGAGAAGATGGGGAGGGCACGGGGCTCGGTCTGAAGGAGGACCCGGGCTCGGCTGTACCGTCACCAGCCTTCCCACAACCGCCACACAGTGCAGGGGGCCTTCTCAGACAGCCCTCACTCCTCGGAGGACCCGTCTCGTCGGTCCTGAGGATGCTCAGAGTTCACGTCCAACAGGAGGCGGCCATGCGCAGGGAGGGTGCCTCTGGAGACCCGGTGCTGAGAGGGGACGTCTATCACGACGACCCAGCTGGCCCAGACAGCCTGCGGGGGGCCCTGTTCGCTCAACCACAAGCGCAGCCCAGCCCAATCTGAAGCCAGCTCCGGGCCCCCAGGGGTCAGGGTCACCTGGTTCCCACGGCGGTGGGCTCAGAACCCACCTGTCCTGACCGGCGCCTGCCCCTGTTCCTGGGCTCCCACCTCGCAGAGAACACCCCTTGACCGAGGCTGAGGACCTTTACTCTCGTGCCATCTCGTTTTCTTCAGGGCGTGTTCCACCTTTGCCTTATTTACTGTGTATAGTCAGCATCTCTGTCCTCCTCAGCATTTTAGACTGTGGGGGCCCGTTTCTCTGCACCCGCCACTCAGCTCTTCCCCAAACCTTTTCCAGTCACGGCAAATGCCTTGAAGGAGGAGTCCGCAGACGAAGGCCTCCCCTTCTCACCCCGGCACCGCGACACGATTTCCAGCCCCGTGCTCCAAGCGGGACCCAAGCTGTTTCCCCAAGGATCCCCCACCTCTAACTGCCAAGGCCACAGCTCCTCAGAGGCCCTCGGGATGACCCTGTCTCCTGAAACCCCCTCCAGGACACGCCTCCCTCCTGACTGCCCTCTCGGCGTTTGGCCCTCGTTCCTAGAACCTGAATGCAGATGATCCCCAGATGCTGCCCACATCCCTTCTCTGGACGAGTCCCGGGATGCGTTTTTCTTTTCACTTTGACAGCAGCTGGCGTCACTGGTCCCCGGCCCCGTGCCACCGGGCCCTCTGCTCTTGGTCCTGAATGAACGTCTGTATTTCTGACTCTCTCGAGCATCTTCTGGTGTCTTACGAGTCCCTCAGACGCACACGGCCAAGGCTGGGCTGTCCTCTCCTCACAGTGGTCGGGTGTGAGACTGGCTTTTCCTCATCGCTGATGCTGTCACCGAGTCCGGCTAACTGCGACTCCAGGACGTCGCTCTGACGCCCCCTCTGTCAGCTCCCTCCTGACTCTGCCCTCAGCCCAGCTTCAAGATCCTCCTCAGCACCAGTGGGCCGTTCAGAGACGGGCTTCGCAAGTCAGATTAACTCCATCCCGTTTTCTCACTTAACAGCTGTGCGCATTGGGCACGTTACTTAACTTAAGACTCAGTTTCCTCCTCTGTTAAATGGGGCTGGTACTTAGACCTATTATAAGAAACTTGGGGATGTGTAAACAAAATGTTATTCCCATGGCTGGCCCATGGTAGCCACTCAGAGATGGTAATTTTTCACTCAGGACTGTCCTTACTTCCCCATCTCTGAGCTGGAGCCCCTGCCTTGACCTCCCCTCCCGCCAGCACACATTCGACACTCACACAGTCACTTTCTAAACCAGAGACTTCCTCAGGTCAGTCTTTGGTTTAAAACAAAACCTTTTCAGGAATTTTCGTTGCCACATGAGGAAGACCATATCGTTAGTGTGGCATTCCCGACCCTTCAGAAATCCAGGCTCAAGCCACCCTTCCAGCTTCCAAACTCCCTTCCACTCCCTGCTGTGTAACCCACGCACCTGACGCACCTTACATAGCCCGGCCCTGGCTTCTTCATCGCAGCCACCCCGTCCTCAAGGTCTCCCCTCTTCATTTCTAGCGGATGGAGTCATATTTATATTGGCAAAAGCATCTGGTTCCCCCCATAAATTCTAACTCCTTGGAAGCAAAGAACACTCCTTATGAATCTGGCACATTGCATTCATTCATTCATTCATTCATTCACCAAACGTTACTAACTGAGAGCCAGGCGCTGTGCTAAGTGCGAGGGACACAAGGCCAAGCAGTTCCGGCCCACAGCAGCCCAGCATGCGGCCCAGCGTGCGATGCTGGGCGAAGGAGCAGCTCCAGCAGAGGGCGAGGAGCGACCACACACAGCAGCGGCCCTGCATCCCGCTCGTGTGTGGGGCCCGGGGGTCAACACCTGCCTTCAGCCACCAGAGATTCTAATCCCATTGCTCTGTGGGGCCCTTTCTTGAAGCTCCTTGGGCACCGTTACATGGAGTGAGGACTGTGGACCTCGGACAGGGCTGTGCCCAGACCGCGGGAGACACACCTGGAGCTGGCACTAGTGGTTGTTGCACAAATTCTGTCCCCTTTATTCCTCTTTCCCAAATCTGCACAGGTGTTCACCCTTCCTCCACGTGACTCAGGAGACACTGCCCTATCCCCAAATCAGAGGTAGATTCTGATTGTTCTTGCTTGCGATTGCTTTAGGTGTAGGCAAAGGGACTCATTCTAGACAAGGGTACCTGGGGGGGAGGGGGGGTCAGTCGTGGGAAGTTGGGAAAAGGTTTGCTCATCTCAAGAAAAACATACCAGGAAAGACAGGTTTCTTTCTGCCTTTGGACACTGCTGTGCCTGGCTGTGACATCCGGAACCACAGCAACCATATTATAAACATGAGGGGAGCCACCCAGAGGTAGAACTGAGATGCAGGAAAGACCTGGCTTCTTGACGCTGTTAAATCCTTGTATGCAACTACCCTAATGTCGTCCACCTGTGCACTTTCTGATGCATGAAATAATACATTTCAAAATTCTTTTTGCTACTTTGAGTGAGTTTTCTGCTTACCTGCAGCAGGTGGTACTCTAACTGACGTACAAGTAAAGCGAACCTGGAGGTCAAGGACAGCCGCCCAGAGAAGGCCGCTTCTGGGAAGTCTTCACAGGCAGTCGAGGCAGGAGAAGCACGTGACAAGGCACAGGTGCCATTTGGAAGATATTCTGGGCACCACGTGTAGTTCAGAACGGCTCTGCAAAGGGCGTGAGGATGGAGACGAGGCTGCAGAGGGGAGGCCGGTGGGAACCTGAGGGCTCGTGTGCTCTGGAGGTGAAATACAGCCACAGCACCGAGCAGCTCCTCCTGTCTACAGGCAGCGTCTACGTCTACACCCCACGAGTCCGGCTGGCTTCTCCACGCGCTGTGAAGGTGTCAGAAGGGATGTCGTGAGAGCTCCAGAGCCAGGCTAGCTGTCCTGGGATGCTGTCCTGGGATGCCGTCCTAGGCTGCACATTGTCAGGAAGGCCATCCACACGACTGGAGGAGGGGAAACCAGGTGGGGAGGACTAAGGGCTTCAGCTGAGCCAGGACCATCGGCGGGACCAGCGAGGGCCAAGGCCGGCCTGCAGCACGCGGCTGCCCAGCCGCCACCCCAGCGCACCTGAGCCCAGGAGAGGCCAGCCGGTGAACCGCCCAGGCAGCCCAGGGAATCACACGAGGCGATCAGTCACTGTTGGGGGAGCACTAGATTTCGGGGGCTCGTCACGCAGCAATAGCTCCGAGCACACAGGCCGAGGCAGGATGCGTGGACTTACTCCGAGCAGCGTGAGCAGGAACACGACTGTGCTCCCGTCTCGGGGAGACGCCGCGGCGGTGGGCCGGACGCTCAGGGTGGGGCAGGTGGGAGGCGTCCGCGGCGATGGAGCTGAGAAATAGCGTGGGCCTGAACTGGGACGGCGCCCAGGGAGGGCGGAGCAGGGGCATTTCGAGGTAAAATCAGGGTGACAGTGAATAAGCTTATGGAGTGTAAAGGAGAAAAGCGAATGAAGAAGTGCTCCGAGGTCCCTGGGCCAGGCCGAGCGGAGGACAGCGCCCCTCGCCAAGGGCGGGAGGGAGGGGAGCAGCCTGGGGTAACCGGGGGGCGTCCACGTGGGGACGTGCACGCGGAGCTCTCGACGCTCGGTAAACGCTGGATGAGCACATCCCGTGAGCAGTCTGGCGGGTCCTGAAGTGTACGAGGCCAAGGAGCCGTGGTCGTGTGGCATCACTGGAATTCTCTGTAAGTCAGACTTTCATGGTCTGAACTCACTTTACTGACACTTCATCAGAAAAGGAAAGGAAAGATCCGAGGCAGTCAAATGCTGACGGCTCCGCACGCTGTCTAGCTCACGTGCCTCCATCTGTCATTCTCAGCAAACACTGCCAGTAACGACCTGTCTACCTAAAGCCACTTTCCAGCGTCCAGAGGGTGAGCTCTGTGACCCGAGTCCCCTCTCTTCCTGGCCTGCGATTCCCTACACGCCTCCCGGCCCGTAGGGCAGGAAAAGCCTTGGGGAAGGACATGCTAGAAAGAGCTGAGAGGGTGTCCATGTCGGCTATGCTGTCAAGTGAGCACCGTCTTGATTTACCAGTGGAACAAACACAGAGGGTCCAACAACCGTGACACACACAGGTAAGTACCGCTTACCTTTGAAATTGGTTAAAATAGCAGGTAAACGGCTGGGAACCAATCTCCTCCTCCCAGTACTGCTGCCAGTTCATGACGCTCTCCAGGTTCTTCTGATTTTCTCTCTTACAGGGAGGAATATAGGAGCACTAACAAGACAGAATGCAGAGGAAACCTATTATTCCACAGAATAGTGAAATACAGCCCATTTTTTAACAGAGAGATGGCATTATGCAGATGGAAAGTTAATCTAATTCTGACCTACCTAATTTTTAATATCACGAAATTGCAATTGCTAACCTACGTCTCAAATTTCCAACTTGGCACAATTACAATAAACATTCCAGTAACAAAAATACAGCAAAATAGAGCTTTCAGTCATTACTATAAGGATATTTTATAAACAACTAGTTACAAACTAATAGGAATCGATAGCCTCTCTTTTTGAAGGCCTGTCAATCAACAGAGGGAGGCAAAAAAAGAGTTACTTTTCATCCCCAGTTTCCAGTGGACCATGCTGTCTCCTCTTCCACCTTTAACCACAACTCAAGCACAGGCTCTCCTCAGACACTGCTCTCAACCACCGAAGCCCCGTGGAACCAACGAGCCCAGAACCAACGCACTTTGCTGACCGATGCTTTCCCAGCCTGCAGTTCCCTCTGAAGAGACTCAGCTGCTCTCTTGAGATTGAGCAGAATCAGAAAACTGCTCGTGTTTAGATGTTTAGTTAACCTGAGCACTCTCGTCCATCTCTTCCAGTTCAGGCTTTTGCGATGATGATGACGATCACGGCAGGAGATGCCAGCTTGGTTACTATTTACAAGACACCGGACACTAAAAAATGCTCGCCAGCCTCAGCTCGCGCTTCTCGCCATGACCTTGGATGGTCTCCCCTCCACGGACGGGGAACTGAGCCTTCTGTCAGCTCTTCGACTGGAACTAGACGCCGGCGACTTTGTCACATCCCACTCTCAGATGTCTTCCCAAGCTGTCGACGCCGAGGAGCAGGAAAACGCCCGTTGGCTTCAGAGCATAATTGGAGGCACATTATTTTAGAGCGCGTGGTCTGCAGCCTCTCCCCACGATTTTACAGCAAATACAAAGGTTAGCGAAGCGGACGACACTCTGCACATCGGTCCCCGCCGCGCTGTCCCCACTGGAGCCGGGGCCGCACCCTGGAGACGCACCTGCTGCGCCGCCTCCCCTCGCTCCCTCCTCCAGGAGCCTCCCGGCGCGGCTGCAGCCAGAGCCACACAGCGTCACACTCGTCCCTTTCACGCCAGCCCCCTCGTTCGCCAGCAAGTGGGACAAGGGCCATGGTTTTTTCTTTTCTGTATCTTCACATTTAGGACTAGGCCTCGTATGGGGAAGCTTCAAAAATGTTGGGAGAATTAATTAAATAACACACTTAGACACATTTTTATTCAAGATGATGAAGCTGTTTTCGCAGTGGTTAAACATTTAAAAATACGCAATATAGACACGTTTTAAATTTTGGTAAATTTGGTTATTTTCTATTACCTATAACAAGTCCACATGTTATGCAAATGTTATTTTAACGATTGAATCACTGGACATTTATCCTCTGCATACATAGCTCCACTGCCTATCAACAACAGTAGTACAGAGCTAACATTTCTGTGAAATTGTGAATTCGGAGTTCAAAGCAGCATTGGGACCATTAGATAGGGCTCCGGTCCTATTCTCTGTTGGGTGTTTAGGCTTCAATAAATTACTTCCTTTTTTCTGGATTTCATTATTTCCAATCTGTAAAATCTCCAAAATACATTAGTTCTACCTTTTGATGATGCTCTTCTTGGGGATACACCAAGACAGGACCCAGCAGAAGGCAGGACCACGAGCATTGCTGAGCGCTTTTCCCAGAGGAGATTCTGTCCCCTGGGAGGTGGCGGGCAAGGCTGACCAGGCCAGCATGCCAGCCGCAGGAAGGCCGGCCGGGGCTGGGAGGCCCTTTTTCGGGGGCCTCTATTTGCTGTAGGAAATGGTCACAGGAGGACTCTGACGTTCACGTCGCTCATTTCCTATACGACATTGACACGTCTTTTCCCTCTTTTAGAGTAGTTTTTTCTATATCATGGTCAGTTTATGAAGTGAGAGTGGGGCCACTTGACTCTGCTCTTTGCAGGAAGGAGAAATTCCCATATTTGGAGGTAGAGCTGTGAGGGGTGAAACCCTAAAATCCACCACGGCCCTTTTTGCAATGAGTGTCCTCGATGTGAGGGACACTAAACATTTTAGCGAAAACAACTAATAACCAACTGTTGTCAAAGTAGATTTTTCAATTTTGCAACTTAACTCCTTTTGAATTCTTTGCTATTCAGTTTTTTGGGGGAGAAATGGATTTAAAAGAAACATCTCTACTGAATGACAATGACTCCAGGACATGACCAGGGGCCCAACCTGCGCGTCCCAAACCACAGGTGGAAGCTCTCAGCAAGTGTGTGCAGTTTCGTAGGAGGTACGGTTTCACGTGGGACAAAAGACACGTTTCTTGCCTGTAGGAAACTTTGAGCCAATGTGGATGGATTTTTGGAAGCAAAATACTTTTTTACATTGGGAAAATACCCGGAGATCAAAATGCAAGTATTTTTACATGACTGCATTCTTTCCAAGGAGCATCCCAGATTAAAGAGCACATAAGACTCCAGCGCCTTTTAAAGCTCGCATTGCCTTCAAAGGACAATTTTTTAAAGGCTAAACCTTACGTTCTTAAAAATCATGATTGCTCATCTTCTTCTGTCTTGATTCTCCGGTTGGTTTGTCTTTAAAATTTCTGTGAAGCCTAACTCAAACCCTCCCTGGACGCCTCCCCGATTCCACTCAGTGGATCAGGGTAGATTGTTAGAACTTTAAATAAGCTATGAATGAACATTCAAGACAAAAACAGAATCCTAGAAAAAGGAATTTGGAAATTCAGTCACAGAGACTCCTTTCCTTTCTAGGTTGTTCAAGACTGATGGTTTCCAGACACCACAATAGCTCCTCCATGAGTCTCTCCTCTGGGGGAGGAGCACACATAAGAACGTACCCCATCCGCCTCCTCCTCATCACTGTCTTCATCGTGGCTGGCATTTATCGACTATATGTTGTATCTCATTAATCTCAACCTCATTTAATCCAGATGACCATATATTATAATAAGAAAACCCATTTTCCAGATGAGAAAACTGAGGGGTAGAGGGATTTGAGAAAACTTCCCCTGAGTTACAATAACTAATGGGAAAGCTGGGACTCAGACTGCAGGGTTTTCCCAATCATTGCACCATACGGCCTCCCACGTCTCTGTCTTTAGGGCTTCCCAGTTTTCTCTTTGGAGCTCCCTGATTTGGGGGTAAGCAAGATGCCCTGAGTTTTGCATCCCTCTCTTGGAGGACCAGTGTATTTCTTCCTGGGGAATGGGGCTGGCACAGTCCTCCTGAGGGCTGAGCTGGGGCAGGCGCTGCATCCTTGTTTTCTGGTAGATTCTCAGAGAAATGCATCCTAAGTCTTTGCTTGTTCACTCCTGTCTCAGTTTGGCTCCAGGGCTGGGTTTTGGTGCCATGGATGTCATGTCACTTTGGTGAATTTATAGACACCACGTCACGCTCACGGAGGCCAATGAGCACTCTCTTGGAGAAACTTCTTCATACGCTTCTGACCTTTTTTGTTTTCCATTTGCAAAGGTAGCATTTCCCAACTCCTAATACCACGAGTGCTCCAATAACCTTCACTGGAGTCTGTGTCATTTGCTGCCTAAACTTGCACGAAATCACTGTCTTTAAAAAGTCAGGAGGAAAAGAGGCATGTGATAAAATAGATTTGTTTAATGCCTACCTGTTAGAAAAAAAAATTTGGCTTTTGCATTCCTGAGCAAAGTTGATGGGATCCAGAGGGCTATTCTGAGTTTATTAACATAAAGGCTTCCAGTGAGTTTATTAAGGACAGACACCACCATCACTCGACACGGAATATTTGATTATGCATTTATTATTCTTATTTTTCCATTATCTGATTTTAGGGTTTATCCAGGTTATAACAGTTCTTTTTCAGCCACTCCAACGGACTGATGCGTTCACAGAGCCCACTCCACTGCCTCTTTGTGAGCGTGTCGTGAGGACTGTGTTTCAATCACGGGGGCGCAGAAGCCAGAGCTCATTTTCCCCCTTTAGTGAGTCATTTAAAAATCCGTTGCACAAAGCACGTGGTCTGCTTAACTAAACGGTGGGCCCAGTTCTGTTAGGCGCCACCTAAGAAGCAGAAATGGAGAAGCTGGATTTTTCCCCAGTTCCTTTGACTTCACTCGGGTGGAAGGGTGGCATTGAAAGACACGATACTATAACTTACTGATTAAATAATTCCCAGAGTAAATCTGATTAGAAAATGAATTCTTAAAATCATCTACTGGAACTTCAGTCTGATTATATTTTATACTATAATCCCCCATTTTCTGAAATTCTGTGAGACATCTCTGTGTCAGCTGTGATTTGTAACTTTAATGACATTTTTACAATATAAACATATAACCAGAAAAGCACTGAGGAATAAAAAGTGTAACTGAGCTGTTGATAAACTCCACAGTGGTGCCCGCGCCCCCAGACCTCATTAATAGCGTGCATACCCACGTGCACGTGAGCACACACATTCTTTATGGATGTAGGTGAACTGAACAAACACACACAAAATTGCACATCAGCTAATAAGTTAAATTCCAGGGCCAGTGGTTCCAGAATGTATATCCATACCTGAAAGCTAAATGAGAAAAGTCTTACGGAGGAATCTAAAGGTCAGATAAATAGCTCAGAAAATATGAAAAGCAGGCTAAGAATGGGAGAAGCACGATGAGTTCTTTGGAGAGAGCGGGCTGGAGGGAGCAGAGTGGCCCACAGTCCAGGACAGTGTATGTCAGAGTGTGTCCCACAGACCCCTCGGGAGCTTGCCACAGAGGTGCATGCTCCTGAGGGTCTGACGCTGTGGGACTCGGAATCTGCATTACTAATAGCTCTTCTGCTGCCTGGAATGACAGATTTTTAGAACTGATACGTCATGCAATAAATCATCCTGATTGCTGAGGGCTGGAGAGGCTGCAAAGATTGGATGTTACTCACTCCTTACCCGCTCCCCCTCTCTTCCCAGGAGCATGCAGTGTAGT